ACCTGTCACACAGAACTTTAGAATCACAGTTTAACAGTGGTATTTTATCGCAAGTACCGGACAGCTAAGTAGATTGCGAGAAGTTCACGGCCAAATGTGCTATATCGAGTCAGCGCAGGTTGTAAGGGATGTGAAAAGAATGATAAAGGCTATATTTCACCGTTGACCTCCTGTTGTAAAACTGCACAAACTGCGGTTTGTGAAGCACCGATAACCAGGAAAAGAGGTGTAGACGGATCAAGATTTATGTAACAAATTACTTGCCTGATTTAGCGGTTCCTTAACCGTTTCAAATGACGCAATGGCCTCCGCTATGAGGGCGAAGTTGCGAGTTTCCAGCCTGAGTAGGTCGGTGAGTGACTGGAAAACCTCGGCACAGTTAGGGATAAAGCGATGGTAATAATTGATAAGACAGAGGAAACGTCTTAACTTTTAAATGCTGTTGGGAGCTGGAAAGTCGCAACTGGCGGAAACTTTAGATGGCAGAGTACGGATGCCGTCTGGGTCGACAATATATCCTAGAATTTCTAGTGACGAAACACCAAATTGGCATTTACTACTATTGATGACTATACCATATTGCTGAAATCTTTCAAAAACTTGCTTCAAGTGAAGAACATGCTCTTCTTCGGACCGACCGGCGATAGGTACATCGTCAATATAAGCGTAGACGAAGTCTAATCCCTGTACGACTCGATCCATGAATCATTGAAATATTTGAGCTGCATTTCTGAGCCCAAATGGCATACGAACGAATTCATATAGACCGAATGGAGTGGTGATAGCAGTTTTGGGAATATCGTCTGAAGTGACAGGTATCTGGTGGTATGCTCTGACAAGGTCTAATTTACTCAAGACAGATTTGCCGTGAAGAGTGAGGGCAAAATCATGCAGATGCGGAATTGGGTATTTGTCCGGGATAGTGACACGATTTAGTGCGCAATAATCGCCACATGGTCTCCAATCTCCCTCGGACTTTTTGGGGACCATATGTAGTGGAGTTGACCAAGGGCTGCATGACGGTCGTATGATACCCAGTTGAAGCAAATGTTGGAATTCGGTCTTGGCTATGGCAACCTTTTCCGGGGCTAACCGCCGTGGGCGGGATGCGGTCGGTGGGCCTTTTGTCGAGTTATGGTGGAAAACATCGTGTTTTTTGAGAGTGGTCTTGGAAACAGGTTTCAGGATCTCTGTAAATTGACGAAGCAGTGCTGTGTAACGATTATCCGGCAAAGCTGGGCGGATTTCAATAGAAATAATGGATGAAGCTTTGCCATTTATAGATAGGGTCGTCGAATTGTCAAGCAACTGCCGTCTGTGGAGATCAACCGTCAGACCAAATGACGTGAGGAAGTCCAAACCAGTAATGGGTTTTTCAACGTCGGCCACTGTGAACACCCACAGGAACTGACGGCGAAGACCTAGATCGAGAGTAAGAAGCTTTTCACCATAGGTCTTAATGCTCGTATCGTTGGCTGCCTGCAGAGTATATGTCACCGGCTGTGGGTTATGTTCACGTATAGGAGGAACTACAGTAACCTCAGCACCGGTATCGATGAAGAAATTCAATGACGTGGAGCAGTCATATACGAAGAACAGGCGACAGGTAGAGGAGCCGTTACTGGCCGACCATGGCGCTTCCCGAATTCGACGGCTTTGTGGAGAAATTGCAAGGCATGGTGCACCGGATAGCGCGGTCGCCGAACCGACGGTGGTATTAGCACCAGCCATGTTGGTCACTGTGCTTGGGCGCACGACTGTGGGATCGAGACCTAGATCGTTTATGCTGTTGAGGGCGATCAATGAGTTTGGTGAGTTCATTCAGTTGGAGGGGTAACTCAGAAAATTGAGATTTGAATGCACTGGACTCGACCTCCGGGTTACATTGCGAAGTGCATAGCCTCGGATCACGTGCACGGAAGTCAGGCAACTTAACGTAAACAAAGTTGTACATTTTGGGTGTCTATGTTTTTCAGAAGCCTTGCTTACGCGAAAATTAAACGGTGCTACCCGTCTCCATGATGGGGACCGCGTGATCCCCACTGCGTCTGGTTGGATACACTAGAGAGTATAGCTGCCAACTGATGTCAGTAGTGTTCTTGTTGTCAGTTTCTGTCCATATTGCCTGAATGAGTGTTTGAAGGTGTATGTGTAGTGGACTAGGACCATATCAGCGTGTTCGGATAAATTAACAAGCAAAGTACCCAATACAAAATGACAAAATCACAATGGAAAAAAATGAGTAGTCAAATGAGGACTCACGAATGTGTAGATCCAAATGCAGTAGCCGGCTGTGAAAGGAAATATTCACTCGTCGAAATTTCCCACGGATGTGTTCACGCGTGAGTGATATATTCCACGATAGGAGAATTATTCACGGCTAAAAAATGTCACATGGATTTATTGTGAGGTTCAACAGTTGACACAAACACATAGATTTAGTCCCACTGATTCAGCAGTCAAAAAACAGTTCAGCAAGAAGTCAGCAGGCCGCACCGGAAAATTGTGTATTCGTAACATTAAAACAAACGTCATGATAAAATATGTACGACAGTTATAAAGTGTAGTTTAAGTTCAGGAAAAATGGTAAATGTGATAACATATTACAGACACTACCTGCGCAACGGACCAATCTAAGTCGGGAGACCCAGACCGCAATGCTGTATAAGTTCAATTGGATCAGTGACATCGAAGGACGTGAGATTGAAGCCGCTACCATAGATAGCGGAATGAGTACAGGGCAGGCGTGGACGGGCAATAAATTTGATCTGGCCATCCGCAATGTTAACGAAAGCTTTTCTGATGGAAGCTGCCAAAAGCACTTATTTGATGTAAGGAATACAGGCCCCAATGCAACGTCATCTAGAAGGGTCCAATAGGGTTTTGATATATGTTTCTGTTGGCCAGTCACAGAGACCGGGATTAGTGAACGTTTGGACTAATGTAAAGTAAAGCATTTACTCAACAATTGTCCACTTGAATGCGTAACACTGATGTCAGTGTGATTAGGGATAGCAATTTTCGTAACCTAATCCATAAGCTCGGTGAAAGGTGGATCACCAAATAACACCCGAGCCATAAATTTCTGTATGTCTTCATCTCCGGAATGTATACTGAAAGTCAAAAGCTTCAGAGTTAGAGACGTCAAACGGCCGGGTGTCTAAGATTCTCAGAGCCATACTGAAATATTAAGATTGCCTCGCACTGGTCCGGGATAACCTGAACGAATCAAGTTCAAGGATGGCTAAAAGGCACGTACCTCGTGCTAGTCAAACAAAATAGCTTAAAATACATATTCCACTCGGTCGAAGCACTGATTCCACGTTGGTTTCCATCTAGAGGGAGCGAACCACAAACAGACGGGCGCATTTCCCGCACCAGTGACTACCATGTCTGCGGGAAATTCGCGTTAATTTCTTTTGAGAACCATGTGGAGGAAGCGCCACTAAATGGCTCCAAACGACATGTCCCGTCCCTTTCAGCAAACTCTGAGTAATACGACTGGAGTCTAGAGACTGGAATCTACCGTCTACCAAGTAGGGGTGGATCGAATGGCTTGATACCTCGGCACAACTCTACTCATTTTTACCGCACTCTGCCATATTCCAGGACCCACCCAACTTGATATCTTCCAGTTTCATTTCCTCCGCTCACTGCGGATACCCTTCTCAGCTTGGATTGCGGCATCCGCCAGGGTTCAGATGAAGGCGACCTGCACCTTCTGTGGGAAATGGTTGGAATAGGTTTGCCCAAACGTGACGCAGATCTGGTGATAAAAGGCTGGAGTTGGGGCCGCAAAGATATCTGGAAATGAACCTCTCCTGAAAGCGTGCAGGGAATTCTCTACAGAAACGTTTATTCGAGTATTACAAAGAAGGCAAAGACGCAAGAATCAAAATTTTTCGGGTGAAATTCGTTGCAGTGGGATAAAGAGCTTCCTCTTATGACTCATACTGTTGCTTACATGTGTGCAGTCCAGCTGCGATACACTGTTTCGGGCAACAATTGAGGCAGGCACGGCTTTGTCCACGGAAATGTGGCACGCCCTCGATCCTAAAACAGGCGCCGAGGGGGATCCGTCATGCCACCCATGAGATGACCAATTTGCGATAAAGAACACTTTAGTACTTCCAGCGGGGGAATAATATTTGGGCAAATGTAGAACGCGCACATATTTACGTATTCCTTAGTCCAAACGGATGAAATGCATTGGCTTTCATTAAAAAAATAATGATGCTGTCTAAAAGTGCGCATGACAGTGCCTGAAGAACAAACCCACTATGTACTATCTAAGGGACGATTCCTTGTGGCCTACTAGCATACTATGCAGAGTGGGATTGCACGGGGCGCCGTTTGTCAGCCTCCTCCCCTTGAAGGTTTGCTGAGACATAAACGGAATTGGAGTAAAAGTGGCGGATTTTTGTGAACATTCGCCTGATAGCAAGCATTTGTTAAGTCCGGTGGCCACAAACGTCAGATAGTTTTAGGCTTGTTTGCCGCAAGAGCACACGGTGCTGACCGATGAAGCGCATTCTGAGGCAAAGTTTCTGAAGCACCTGGTGACCAACAGCCATTTAATAACTGAGATTACCACCAATTTGCCCCTAAGTTACTAGCAGGATAACTTAAAAGCAGGAGAATTAGCTTGACCAGGGCAAAGAATTAGGCTCGGATGCCGTAAGCTTAGATTTTTCGACGACCTCAATTAAGTGATCGTAATGTCAACCCATAATGCATGCAATAAGCCAATAGTCACCGGTCCGCATTCAGACCAGCCTTCTCAGGTCAGAAATAGTGCCGCATGCCCCTTCGCCGCGCTGGTGGCAGTGAGAATCCCGTGGGTTTACAACAGTTGGAGCTTTGCATATGGTGCTGGCAACTCCCTTTTAACGACAAAAATGACCTAAATCAATTGACATCAGAGAGCTCTATATACGTCTGCTTGCTACATGCCAACGAAGGTCGTTACACTATATACTGGTAAGATGCAAGGAGTTGGGTATCTACCTGTCTGGCACCGTTCATTCGGAGAATTTCCACGGGAAAATTGAACACACGGGGCTGGTTTGTTAACACGAGAAAACGCTTCTCCACTCAACTGGGGTTCCAGGGTTGTGTATGGCAGAGAGTAAGAACCCNCCACTGCAGGAATGCGCTAAGTGGTTTATCATCTACGCGTGCTGAACGTATCTGAAACGGCCACTAAAATGAATAATGGTCTTCTCCTTACGGGTCTATGGATTGTGGAAGGCAGTTAGAAGCGCCGGATATCTGCCATTCGTACCCCTAATATATGCATGGGCGAAAACAATCCTAACCCATTTGCTATTAAAAATTGGTCGCGCTGCCGCGTTGTTCGCCTTTCTTTCCAAGAGGGAATGTAAAATACAAAAAAGTTTTCAGGATGGAAGAGGCACCATTTCATGCGGAAACGCTCGTGCCATCGGAAGCTCTAAATGCGGACGGAAATCATATTCAGAAGTGTTGCAGCCACTGGCCATTAACCACCATTTAGTTCTCTTTCATAGGCCGTTTTGCTTGATTTTTTGGGTTGCCCATGATTTCGTCTTTTGCAACAAGTATGCGGACCAGTGCCGCACTTGGCCATAATCTCTCTTTCGGGAAAGATAGGGTAACCTGAAAACCCGAAATGTCTAATCTTTCCCACTCGGAGGTCACAAAAAATCGCTTCACACCTGTGATTTATCACGCAACTTCAGAATTATCCAGCATGCGTTGTCGCAATTCAGTGGACAATGCAAATGTCCCTGGCATTATGAAATATCGTTTTTTGAACGAGCCGGTCCTCGATTGTTAAATTCAAATGGGAAGCACCTCACACTACTGTGGGTAAAATTTTGTTATCCGGCATGCCCATGGCCGTGTCCGCAAAAGCTTATTTTCTGTGCCCGAATTTGCTTGAGCAGCCTACTTGATCTGTACAACGAAAAAATATATGAGTCTCATATACAAGATTAGTGAGGCTCGTTTCATTGTGATATTTTCCGAAGTGAAAAATTCTGAGCTTTGCAGTGGCGTACTGGGTGTTGGCCATCACTATATGCACCGTGAATTGAATTCTCGAAAGCTACGATGCGCTCAAAGTTACAAATTTATAGTGTAGAGTGTTCATGCAGAGAGAGTTGTTCCGCAAATTACCTGTATGGGGGATTTGTTCAAGTGAGCGACTTTTCAAGGCTGTCGATCAACATCTACCGTGAATACAGTGCCTAATGAAACACGACATCGCGAATTGCGGTAAAAAGTGCGTGGCTTACAATAGGCGCAACTCGCCAACAATTCCGCAGTTTAAATATTTAACCGAGCTTTTCTCGAAACTGCATGGAGGTAAGATGCGTGGATGCAGCTGTGGAAATACCTTATGCTACTTATATCTGTTTAACTGGTTGAGTACAAAATAATATTCCAAGGGGTTGCGTTTACCGGTACTCCGATTTATCATCTCGGGGGCGCATTCACTATTGTTGGATAAACCATTTGGCGTTGGAAAAATACCAGACCAATAGATTTGATGACCTAAATATCAAAGCTGTCCACTGTAACCGGCAAAGTATGCCAGGACGACCATGTAAGCCGTACTAGCGGACGGCTGAAAGAACCCGGCTGACGCACATGACTGACACCTAGCTAGGATTCCATGATGCTCAGTCAAGTGGCCACATTAAACTTACATTGACTATAGCGGATAGCTGAACAAAGAGAGCCGATGCACATGACTAACATGAGGCTAGTGGTTCACCATGCTCAATCAGCTGGCCCAGGCACACCCATCCACCTCTACAGGGGAAAACAGTCGAATTTTAAGACATGAAAATTTGGATTGTTTTGGTCGCTTTGATTAGTGCGCATGTCTTGCCGGGAAGCGTATTGCCTTCTCACTGAGCTGCTGACGTCCTGAAATGAGAGGAGATTAAGTAATGTTATCAAAATATAATTATGAGGCAAGTGGCCATCAAACTGGGAGCAATGCCTACCCTATGAATGGAGCACTTCGGCGACAAAAATTTCGTTGAGGATTGTTTACACAATGCCATCCCCAGCGGCTGATGCGCATTGCGTGATATGTTGCAGCTGTGTGTCTAATGACTACAAGTCTTCAAGAAGTACGAGACCTGCATGAAATACATGACAGACAAACAGCCTGGAGCTGATTGGGCTTGTATGATTCACCTGATATCGTAGTTCTCTTCTTCACGGATTCACGGATCCACGGACTGATACACAGGATCGAAGCTTTTGCCCAAGTTTCCCGGGTTGCTTTTGTTCTTGTCGGTCAGTGGCTGTCGTTCACCTGAAAGGCACAAATGAAAAAAGGGTGTAGCACTGCTCTTTATGTTCTCAGCGCGGGGCAGTATGCTCGTCAGCGCGACGATTCGCATAAATAAATCTCTAATAGTGCTTTGAACTGGGTTTTAGAAGGAGCGTGTACAACCGTTGGAGGAAGGTCATTCCACGCAGCTACTACCCGAAATGAAAAAAGTTTTGTCTAATGAATGTGTGTGCCCTGAACTTGAAAATTTTCTCACTTACTTCCTCGCCGGGTGCTTGCTGGGTCAACGGTAAAAAAACCTGTTTGCCAAGCTTTGTTCAAACAGGGCGTAAGTAAGAAGTAGGTCCCGTCGGAGACGACGGTACTCTTCTAGCTTGAGCCCTCCATTGTAAACCCCCTGTGGTCAGACATTTACTCACGCTTACCTATTAGCTCCTGTCTGGAGCCAAACGTTCGGGCGCAAACAGATTTTCGATACACACTGTGCTCCGGTCCTGGTAAAGCGCATAAGACGACTTGCTAAGCAAACGTTTGCGTTTTCTGGACGGGCCGGTGGCTAAGAACCGAAAATAAATTATTCATCCGTGGAATCATCTTTAGGACAATCTCGAGGAGCATCGAAGCAGGGCGTGCAAGTTTCACAATCACAACAGTCGTCGTGGTATGATTCGCGATCCGTTGCACACTAGCGTTCACTGTAACTAGTCGACAAGTCACAGAGAACATAAAAACTGAAGACTTTGTCGCTGGACTTCACCTGAGTTGAGACGCTATATCCTCTACCACCGACAACAGGTCATCACTTAGGGGTGTTCAGCCTCGTTGCAGCGAGGCTCGCCCTGATTAATTAACTGCCTAATGGTGGCTTTGGCCTTTTTGAACTCCAGCCCCCGAAGCTTATCGACCTTTCGGGCCTGCTGTTTACGCGGCCATCAAACGCTGTCGGCGGTGGCTAGGGAACAAGTGCAAGGGGTGTCCATTGTTGGGGCAGATTGGAATCCGGCAACTATTGTTGCTGGATTGAAAGGCAAACTAAGAAAACATCTATGGAGTGTTTCTTAATACTTCGAATCGACTTGTCTCTAAATACAGAGAAAAAGTGAATGGAAGGAAGCCACATCGCCGGGCAGAAGGAGTGTGTGCATTCTCCAGTGCAAGTGCCACTAATCTGGAAGCACTCGGGTGCTCACGCCACGAGCTATAAGCTGGTCAACGTAGGTTGACCTCACCATGTTTGTGTGAACACTACAGTAGGCCAGACTTGGGTGTCGCGGCCCCGAGTGCCTCAAAACGAGAGAACATGCATAAGTAGTCACTCGACGGACAACATTCAGGATTTTACGTCAGCCGCATTGACAACTTCTGTATGGCGTTGCAGATATTGCCCAGGTTTGCATGACTGTATGTCACTGTCCAGGCGGGCCATACGGTGGAATGTGTGCCCGCTGTTTACAGTGTGCCCGTAACCAAAGCTAAATGGATGCTATATGATACACATGAGCTTACTGACGGCTTATCCAGTACGAAAGTAGAAGAACATGATGTTGCATCTGAAAACGACACCGTATTTGTGCCACCAACGCATGGGTGAATCTGTTGGACTTCCGGACGCTGGTACCCATGCCATCCGTGATCAGAAAGCTGTACAGCGTGTCTACAGGCGATTTATTGGTCGCTTTTAGGACGTATCCAAAATGGCTAATCGCGTGTGTTCGGTCGAGACCTACTACATGCGGAAACAACGCTATGTGCAGCCATCTGGAGAAGTATTCCTGGCTAAAGTGAGCTTACTTTGACGGCAGGTAAAGGCCATCTAATTTCCCGAAGTTTTTCGGGACAGAATGCATATCAGCTGCCACAGTAAAATCCAACTAGGCGGGAATTGTCCAACAGAGCTTGTTCAATGAGTGCGGAACACTTTGAATTCACGGATTCACAGATTGATACACAGGATCGAAGCTTTTGCCCAAGTTTCCCGGGTTGCTTTTGTTCTTGTCGGTCAGTGGCTGTCGTTCACTTGAAAGGCACAAGTGCCAAAAGTGTGTAGCACTGATCTTTATGTTCTCAGCGCGGGGCAGTATGCTCGTCAGCGCGACGATTCGCATAAATAAATCTCTAATAGTGCTTTGAACTGGGTTTTAGAAGGAGCGTGTACAACCGTTGGAGGAAGGTCATTCCACGCAGCTACTACCCGAAATGTAAAAAGTTTTGTCTAATGAATGTGTCCTCTGAGCTTGAAAATTTTCTCACTAATTAAAACAAATTGAGAAAACCAACGTAGATTTAGGTTAATTTTGGTTCACAAAAATATGCTTTAATAGTTTTGCAGGCAAGGTGGTGCAGATAACGGCATTGTGCATCTAAAAACTGGTATGAGTTGTAAGTTTCTGCCCCATACGAGCCATTTCCTTGCATTTTCATAAGGTTTACCAAGACGAAAGCCCAGAAAATTACCACTCTCCAGTACTGTATAACTCGGGGTTTATTCGGCTAGTGCGAGTAAAGCCCAGCTGAAAAACCTTGAAGATCAATGACTTTGTCCCATCCTACGTGATACGCCCTGAACTGAAGCCTGCTCTAAACACACCAACACTCTAAAACCAGGTGATTTGAAGCTGGAAGTGGCGGGCCCGCGAGGGAGTTCAGATGGAGGTTCCTCTGGGTCAGTTTATCCATTGTTATTTTGGTTAACATCTTTCAGTTGTGGATGTTATGGGGTCAGAGCTTCAAATAGTCGACACTCCCTCCCAGGACAAGGAGAACGTTTTCGATGGTATGGATAATGCTGTCACTCAAATAAGAGAGCAATGTGAATTTTATTTCTCCGATGCTAACATACTGAAAGATCAGTTCATGCTGAATCAAGTTAAATCTTCCACTGACGGTTGGGTGAAGCTGGGGATAATCGAGAAATTCAAAAAGGTTCAGCGTCTCACCCAGGATCACTCCGTTGTTGTGCACGCTCTTTCCATGTCCAGCAAGCTTGAATTATCCGAAGACGGTAGGCCGAACAACGTTTTTCATTAGTTTCTAGGTCTAAGCGTACGACGCCGTGACCCGCTCCCAAGTTGGGACCCCTCTGTCTACCATCGTACCATCATACTCACTGACCTCCCTGAAGATGTCGAGCTGAACCACGCAAAGGTTACCGAATTATTCACGGTATGTTATGGTCGTCCGAGTTTGTGCGACATTCTTAACCGGTTCTTATTTTTTATGTTCGATTTGCCATGTGTGCGTAGTAACCAGGGCCGTACTCCCTATTTGGCCAAACCGGACCTGGTGATACTGAATTACGCTGCTCAAACCCAGAAGGTTACTAGCACACTGACACAGTTCGGGTTGGAACCACCCACCTTACGGTGGTTTAGAAAGGTCTATCCAAACCAGTATAACCAGTTTATAAAGAGCTCTGGCGTCAGGTGCGATTTCTTAAGTATCAGAGGATTATTCTGTTTGGTTGCAAGCTCACACAATTTCATGACAATTATCTTTAAAAGAAACTTCACTTACTACTCTGATTTCTAATTGGGGCTGCCTATACTATAATTCAGGCATTTTCTATCGCTGACAGATACGTGAGAAAAGAACACTGGTTACTTACTGTCCTATAACTATCAGTTTGTTTGAAAGTATCTTCATAACGCAAACAGGAAAAATGGGACAGGCAAGTTTATCAAGGACTAGCCTACCACAAATTTCCGAGGCGTCTTCACCAACACTCAGGCAGACATGGATAGGAATCGTCGGCACGAACGCCACTGACATCGGTTAGCCGTCATGTCACGGGTTCACGTGGTCTCCATCCTGAGAGGCAAATAACACTGAGAGCATTAGGTTTCGTGAACTCTTTCGTTTCCTTCTGTTATGTTTTGTCCCTAGGGTTTCTCCACTACGAACCAGGTACGGAAAACAAAGCTCTTTTTGGCGGATGGTAACTCAACACGGGGGCTGAGACTGCCAGTATTCCCAAGCCCAAATGGGGGCTGTTGAGATACAGAGGTCAGTTTCGAGCCACGGACCCTCTAGTCAGTAGGTTAGCGTATTAACCACTGAGCTCTCCCAAGCTCATGTGTGTCATATTATTCATCTACAGTGGCTTAGGGTGCCGGATTCATTCCTTGAATTAAGTACTCTTCACCTCCAAAGATCCGTACTCTGATGAACTTAAGAGTACGTAGTTTCAGCTTTATATCGGCAGTAGATCTGAGAGTCGTCATCTTTAGCTCTAAACCTTCTAAGGACAATTTCTATGACACTAATTGTTCTTTGCAAAGTACTAGAAGCTAGAAGATCGTTGTGGTGCCTGATGATATGAGCATTCAGGTAGGCAGAATAGTGCTCCTGAGGACCGATTGGGTGGTCGTCCAGGGTTGGACACGAAAGGCACGACAAATGAAGCACCTGCAGTAGGCATGTGCCAACTGTTTTTTAGCAGTACCGTTCTCCGGAACAGTGGAAACCACTTGGTAACGTAGTGCGCTCCAACAAACCAGTCCAGAATCCAGATAGGTCAAATCACCATCAGTAGCGGGTGTCGAAGATTGATCACTACATGCTGCCGCATGGGCTCATATCATACAGCCATGCGCTGCAGCTTTTCATTGCGCTTTTCAGGTCTGTGCAAAATGCGCACACTTCGCTTATCCATTGAGAAGCTAGTGGATCCAGAAATCAAACAAACCCGTCGGAACCAGCTCCTCGAACATCTGGCGGATGGTCTGATGTCGGACATTAGTGGTCACTGGGGATATCCAAGCACTACTCAGGCAACCGGGCTGAATGGACAGTAATGCCCATTTTCAAAAAGGCTACTCACATTGAAATCCAGTGACCGGGGGGGGGGGTTAGTTTGATTCTTCTTGCAATGAGGTTTCTGCTGTCACTGATTCTTCGTTGTTTTACGGCGACACCCGAAATCCTGACCAGTGAAAAACAAGCGGGATTTTGACAAATCAGATGCCCGTCATTGATTTCAAAATGGCATATTGCTGAGTCTCAAGAGTTGCATGGAACAGGCTACGGTAAGGGCCGCATTGATGTATGCTTGCGAGATATGGTTTCTGCGGACAGATGATGTGAGGCGTCTTCAGCTTTTTGCCACTGATATCGGGTGGTATCAACAAGGTAATTTGGAAATGGGCAGTGCAGCGGAGACTTTTGTGGTGGAAAACATCCAGCAACATCAGCTGCGGTGGCTGGACCATGTGCTACGCATGCCGGAACATCGTCTGTCGAGATTGGTGTTGTCCTCCGTGGCCTCTTAAGAATGGCGCAAACTGCGAGGTGAACAACTTATGAGTTGGCAGGAGGGCGTGGAACTTTGCGAAGAGCTCAAATGTTGTTGCGGTCCGCCTTCCAGGATAAGGTCCTCGTAAGCCCACAACCTGCGCTTGGCTGAAAATTGGAAGAAGAACCGTTCGTGTTGTCGGAAAGTGGAGGGTCGCTGCCGGACTCCAGATCGTTTGATGAAGCTCTTGGAGGTGGGGGCACTTCAGAATGCATGCGGTAAATCGGCACCGGGTCCCCTCCTTCACCCACTCTTTCTCATATTCTAAGGCTTTTAATATTATTGGATAAACTTTGTGGTTTTACGACAGCAAAGCATTCGCATCATCGTAGGTGCCCGACAGGAAGTGGATAACAGCGAGAGGGCATTCACTCCAGTTACAATGCTTGCTTCGGGGATTCTTGGTTCTGACAGGCAACATTCATGTATGCAGAGGGAACCCAGGGGACGAGCAAGAGCCACTTGTTTCCTTGCTTCATTGCGCGAACTTTAAAGACCAAACGAACAATAGAAGCTGAATGAAATGTAGATGCTACGGCTGAGAGTGATGCACACACCTGCAGCAAGAGAGTATGGGGTAGGAGAGGGAACACGCGATGATGTAACAAGAGAGGTGTCTTCACCTCGTTAACTCATCAGTGACAAAATTAAGCAAAAATATAGTGAATACTCTTGCCTGACACAACGGTTTGTAGGTAAGCTTTGTTAACACAAAGTACTCCTGAATTCAAGGAAGATGAAGATTATAGGGTGGCCTATACCTATGCCGTTGCTCTAACACTTAATGGTGTGTGGGTATGTGGTCCCCGTCTTCACGCGCTCTCGTAAGATTGCATAGAACAAATGATGCAGAGTCTAGTTACAGTTGGGGCAGGCTGGTTTCCTTGTCACTTCCGCGCTCAGCGAGAGTACTTTTTTGAAAATGGACCCACCTGTCGACTTATTCCAATTAGCTGGGATAAACTCTTCAATCCATAGAGGCATGTGGGATCATAGAGCTCAGGCTTTGGTATCACCAGGACGTGGATAGCAAGATTCGGGTTTGTTACACAATGCTGCGTGGACCCATTGATGACACCATGACATGAGCGTTTTCCGGCCGTAAAGAGATTTCACAAGCCAGGAGGAGAAAATGGACTTTATTTCAGTGTTTAGTACCACCGAATCGGTGTACCGACCTTTGGATATCAAAGGGATTGAGAAGCGGCATCTATCAAGCACCAGGTCCGACGAGGTGAGCTGACAAAGTTGACCCACACTCCAGGGGCCTACGGTTTTGCTCTCGACACTTCCCCTGGCTGTACAAAGGCCAGAAGTGCACCCTTGAACAGAAGCCGTGTGGTGCTGGGGACACAGTTCGTTCACCTATTCTTATGTTGCACTATGAATGTGTACCTGATGCGAGGCTCCGTTTATGTTCCAATGTCCCCGGGAAGGGACGCCCGGGTGCTTACTCGGTCGTCTTCCTTGTGAGAAAGTCGATGTAAAGTGAGTTAGACAGGCGCCAGCTGAGGATTTCACCTCCATCCTTATACAGGGCAGATGAGATTTCATCGGGAGCGGCAGAATGGTGGTGGTGTAGGGTGAAAGTGCTTCGCATATTTCTGAAGCCCTCAAAAGTTTCAAGTTAACTATAATGTCTCCGTCGCGGTTCATATCCCGATTGTGTAATTGAGGGTGGCAAGTTGACTTGTTGTTAATGTTCATCCCAAAGATTCTTACATCATTTTGTATAGATGAGCGAGCTGCTTTTCCTCAATGGTTGTCATCATCATCATCATCGACAGCATGACATCAGTGTTCAGCACCGATGCTTCACTGCCGTACAACCATGATTTATTTGAAAGCCTTATTGTAAAGAAAAGAATAAAGGTGGGTGGGGGAGGGACTTAGTGCTAGCTTACCACAATCATTCCGAGGTGCCTACACCTCCAGACATTCACTCAGGCAATCTGGACAGAAACTGACAACAAGAACGCCACTGACATCGGTTGGCAGCCATATCTTGTAGTGTCTCCAACCAGGCACAGTGAGGATCACGCGGTCCCCATCCTGGAAGGCGAGTAGCACCGACAGCACCCAAGCGTTTCGTGATCTCCTTCATACTCCTCTGCCAAGTCAAGGGTTGGCCACCTCTCTGTTTACGCCACTGTGAGTTAGGCATGGAAGACAGCACTCTCTTCGGCAAACGATGGTTCGGCATACGTAACACATGTCCCAACCAACGCAGCTTCTGGTGCTGGACACATTCTTCAATGGAAGTACCCGTTACACAACCGAAAACACGCTTTCTAACTGCCTCGTTACGGATTCGCTGACACCAACCCACACGAGCTATGGTTCTGAGACAACGATTGTCGAACACCTGAAGACGTCTCAGGTCCGCTGCTCGAATAGGCCAAGTCTCACAGCCATACAACAAAACAGCCCGTACTGTAGCTTGATACACACGTCCCTTCAGATTCAGGGATAAACCATTCTGACGCCATAGGTGTCTCAAGTTAGCAAACGCGGCCCGAGCCTTGCAGATTCGTGCATTCACCTCATCTGTCACACTGCAATCAGAACTAATACAACTTCCAAGGTACGTAAAACGCTCCACAACTTCCAGTACCTCTCCCTGGATTGTAAGGGGCGTGTTCAGTGACTGCACGTCCACAAGCATGACCTTACACTTTATGGGTGCAAAGTGCATACCAAAGGACGGGATGAATTTGGTCAGTTCACCCAAGAATACTTGCGCCTTCTCTGCCTCTTCGAATATGAGAACGATGTCGTCTGCATATTCCAGATCGACAAGGTTTTCTTCACAGGCTATTTGAACACCAGGTTTTGGGAGACCCTCCAGCGTTCGTCTCAGTATTTCATCGATCACAAGGTTAAAAAGGAATGGAGAGAGTGGGCATCCCTGACGGACACCGCTTTGTGTGCGGAAGCTTCTGGAGAGCTCTCAATACAAAATGGTTGTTTTGTTCACCAAATGCGTGTGGGCCTATGAGTATCACTTGGATTAATTTTCGTAGTGTTTGAGCTCGAGATAACTCAGTGGTCAGAGCGCGAGCTTACCGAACGCAAGGCCCGTGGTTCAAACCTGACCTCTGCATCTCTGTTGATCCTATGTACTTTTGGGCACTAGCAGTATCGGCCCTCGTGTTTCCGTCCGTTGTCATAGCATCTAGGCACCGAAAGCATGTTATAGCTGAACGACTATTATTAAATTTTCGCACATTCTCAGAGTGGTTCGCATGCTCTATCCCTTCTCCCGACCTAAAGCTACCACCTTGACGTGGTGGTGCTGCAATGATCCCGTGGGCCACACTGGCTGGAACTTCGTTCCACAAGGTGTAGTCATGCCAGGAAGGTCAAAGGGGAGCAGCCAGACCAAGTGCAGCGAGACCCCGTACCACGAGTGATCGGGCTACGAGGCGGTCTGTGGGTAAAGTCGTACTGTCCTCTGCGACAGGATTGTGAAGGCAGTAAGGTGTTTCCCCCAGGCGACCAGCATGTCCATGTTTGTGGGAGCAGCGATGCTGCCTTCCCCCGAGGAAGGACACGTTAGAAAAGGTCGGCCCCAAAAACCGAACACTGATCGCCCAACGGTTGACCGTGACCGCCAGCGCATTATCTTAAAACCAAAGAGCCTGGTGCTGCTCAAAAGGCACCTGCTGTGCGCAGCCGCATCAGGAATGAGACAGTAATGCCTTATTCCCTGCGCCCTCAGGTTAGGCCAACCCCCTGTAGCCGAGCAGGTCAGACTGTTGAGTCGTCGGCTCCGGGCAGGGTCCCCAAAGAAAACCCTACATTCTCCCACTGCCTCGTGGATCAGACTTTTGAGTCAGAGGCTAGGGTCAGGGTCCCCGAACAAAACCCCACACTCTCCCACTACCTCGTGGGTCAGACTTTTGAGTCGAAGGCTCAAGGTGGGGTGCCTCAACCAAACCCCCTTCCTCGGCCTGGGCAACCGGGAAGTATCATTTGCCCGCGCAGTTCAGTGTCCATCGGTGTCCCTCCCCAACCCCTTCCCACTGCACAAGCAAATGTCGTTGGGCCATTTGACTATCAGTCATCTGACCGAAGGGCCTTATGCTCCTCGCTGCCTACAAACATTAAACAAAATAACACCTTTCTAAATCCACGAGATCCTTTCTATATAGGAGCTTTTAACGTCCGTACTCTATGTCAAATTGGCAAACAGGCAATGCTTGCTGAAACCTTGTACTCCCTTAAAATCGATGTATGCTGTGTCTCCGAAACACGCATACAAGACCCGAGCGTGGTTCTGCATCTCAGAACGCCAAGGATGAACTCAGCTCTTTCACATTTCTCCCTCCGTGTGTCTGGTGACCCAGAAGCGATGACTCGTGGAATATATGGCGTGGGAGTTGCACTCAGCCCCAGAGCTGAACGCGCTTTGCTGGATTGGATCCCAGTGAACAGTCGTCTCTGCGCCGTCCGGTTATCCAGTTCAATCAAGCTCAATGCCTCGCGGCATAAAAAGCGGTGCCTGTTTGTCGTGTCGGCTTATGCCCCGACGGACTGCAGTTCTGATGCGGAGAAGGATACTTTCTATCGAGAGCTATCCAGGCTCATTCGTCAGGCAAAAAGCACTGACATTGTGATCCTTGCAGGCGATTTGAATGCTCAAGTAGGTCGTCTGAGCTCCTTGGAATCACATTTGGGTGGTCGATTCGGAGTCGATGCTCGCCGAACAGACAACGGGGATCGCCTCCTTCAGTTGTGTGCTGATCACGAACTGTTTCTGGCAAGTACGAACTTTCAACATAAACGTTCGCACCGCGTAACCTGGCGGCCGCCAACTACAAATCAACCGTGGACCCAGTTGGACCACGTGGCCATCAGTCACCGGTGGAGAGCCACAATTCAAGACTGCCGTTCCTTCTGGGGCACACCACTTGATTCCGATCACGCCATGGTGCGCGCACGCCTGACAGTTCGTTTCCCTTCAGGCCCTCGCAA